TTTGAAAATCTAGTACTTTCACTTTAATTTGATGTACCTTATTGACAAGCTCTAGAGATAAGAATGAAATACTCAAACCTACTACTTTTACTTTAATTCAGTATTTCTTATAGATGCGCTTGAAGCAAAAATTTATTATAGGCAATGACATTGTGTACATAGGCCACTCTGAAAGAAATGCTTCCTATTTATTTCCATGGGAACTACAATAGATACAAAGAGCACAATAACACCATTTGATAGAGCAAATTCTCAGCTACAAGCACTAGTTTTCAACACAGTCACCACCATTAGCTCTGTATTTTTGCCAGTCATCAGAAAGAGTCAGCATGCCGAGCTCATAAAAATCTACATCAGTGGATTTTCTGTTTCATAGTTGCTATGACGGCATCTTTGTTAGGAAAATGTTGCCCACACAGATTATCTTTCATCAACCTGAACAGATGGAAGTCAGAAGTTGTCAAATTTGGACTATACGATGAACGTGGTAGAACAGTCCAGCCAATATTGGCAGTGAGTTCCACGATATTCAAAATGGTTTGGGACTAGCACTATCATGCTGCAAGACAAAGGTTTTCCTCTTTGAAGATTTCCAGTGATATGGCTTTAAAGATATATTTTTTTCTTCTTGGGCTCACGTAATATACATTGTCTTGGCCTTTTATCAATGTCTCTTTCTCTCCTTTCTGTCTCCCAAGCCTGAACGGAAATTTTTACATTTTTAGGGCCAGACGTTACCATTTTTTTAACTATATAAGCAATGCCAAGTGCAGTGAAGTTCTTTTCAGCCATCACAACCAATAACCATAGTGATGGCTTATCTCATCTAACTAACAAGATCTGTGACCTAAGAGAAGGGGGGTGAGGGCATGGCAGAGAGAGAAGTGGATGTCCCATTACACCAAAAGGTTGAACAACTCAGTGTGAGTTTGGCCTCATTAAACTTGCACCTGACTCATTTCTTAAGGCTACAGAGGAAGAAAGTAAAAATAAACAATATCAAAGGACAGTGGGATCCAAGCAGTACAAGATGATAAGAGCAGAGTGGCAAAAGTTAGAGCCGGGAAATAAATGAGGAGGGCAGAGTTGAGGCAGATGCCACCATGACAGGGAGAGGAATCTGGAAGGAAGAGCTATAATTATCAAAGAAAGCATAAAAAAGGAGTTAGGGGTCTCTGAAAAGTTTGAAATATCATATGCAGGTGGATGCAGTCACGAGAAACAGACAAAGTGGCTCTGTTCCTCTTGCTATTTCTCAGGATCTGGAACTTTCATAAATGTCAGTGGACTTTTCGCATGCTGCCCATTCAAGATCATTGTGAGAGAGGATAAAGTTCTTAACCATCATACTTGGGGTAGACATAGCAAGCTGTTAAAGAAGAACCTTCTTTCAATTTCATATTTTAAAACATTTATTCGTCTATGTGCAAAGCCACACTCTTCAAAGTATGGTTTTTTTTCTTCGTTTGTTTTCACACAGCCAAAGTATGTTTGTCTATAACTAAACAAGGATTGATTTCAAACTGTTGTACATGAAAGAAGTGTTCACATCTGTGTGGTATTAACAATCATACCGTACGCCATCTATCGTATTATCTGAGGCCATAAAATGTTCTATGTTTTCCTTTTCCTTTTGATGCTGACCTTTTAATAACAGGCTGACTATAAATGTTTGCTTGGGAAATATTTTGTGACCACACATTATTCATTGCCACTGTGCCATGACAAGAGAATGTTCCATCTGAGGCTATAGTGCCATGTCCTGCTGGTGTTGGATTTCTACCTCTGTAGTCAAAGTATATAAGAATGAGAGACTTCTGAAACAATGAAAACTGTCCACACTCTAGAAAGAGGATAAAGGAATATACTAGGTGAATGCATTGTAATGGTCTCAGTGAAGTAAAAAAAAAAAATGTAAGACAGTATTTATTGCACCTGTTTTGGCACCTAGGTAGGTTGGAACAAAATAAGATATTTCTCTTAAACATTTTATATCCCTGATAATATCGGTGGTACTTGTTTGACCAGAGATCCACAACAGATAACTCTTGTGGCCTGGCCAGTTAAAGCTCAGTTTCAAATGAATCATGCTTTACAAGTATTTCTATTGCTCTGTATTAGCTGCAGAGGGAGCTGAGAACAACTAGGCCACAGACTCAGTAGATGTCCACGCTATAAACATTTACAATTCCTTGAGATTCAGTGCTCTCTTAATATCTGTCTTTGTCTTCCATTCACTGTCATGCCTATTGTCTTCAGTGCTCAGAGCAAGAGACAGCACTTTATCACAGTACTGCTGTTGTTGTGGTACAGGACATCAGCAAATTCTGTATTGGGTTGCTGTGAAAGTTATAAAATCAGCAGAAAATTCTGTTCCCTCCAGTAAGAAGTCAGATATAAGAAGAAGGAACAAAGCTGTTGTGGCATTGTACTGAGAGGCAATTGACTATACCATTAACTCCAGAGCTTGGGTGCTTGTTAAGAAAATAAAAGGGTAAAGGCAGCTGATCCAATTTGGGGTTGAATAGCCTTGAAAACTGAACAAGGTTTGAGTTGACAGAGAAATGATAACTTAGTTCTATGGATTCTGTGTGAGTTTTGGATGTACACGGCATAGTTAATTAGGATTAATCTCTAATGACTACCAAGAAAATCCTATAATGCGTACTGTTCTTTCCATTTCCCTTGACTTCTCCAATTTCCAATAACAGAAAAGGAAGGAACAAAACTGCATACACAGGTAGGCTTTGTCAACATTACTATAATACATCAATATCAGGAGTACTGTTTTGTAATTACCACAGTTCAAAACCTACCAGATATGAATTTTGGGTACAAAATAGAATTCTATTAATAAAACTTATTCCCTTTTCCATACAATAACTTTGTTTAGTAGGCATAAAGTCAGTGAATTTACACATCAGTGAAATTCTGTAGCTTTAAAAATATAAAAACACTTAAAGTAATAAAAATTATTGAGTTAGATAAGCCCGGAAATCTTTCTGTACCATGTAGCATGTGTATCTATGATCTTACGTTTAAAATTACTAGTAATCATTAATAAAAAATACATGGTATTTAAATAAAATAAATGGAAAAGCAAGTTGAAACTACTGACTTCCACAAGGAATGGACAGATGTGTCTTTTCATTTACAGGATACCACCATCCATTTTACTGGTTCTCTGTAATTTTGTTCAAGTTAAAAAGTTTTAGATGCTGATCCAGGTTGAAAATCTTTTTGCTGTAGACAAAAAAATCTTGTAAATGCTTAGTTGAGTTCAATTTTAATATCTTTGATCGCAGTGCCTCATCACAGTGGGTCCTGTACCCATCTTTTGTAGAGTCAAAGAGACAGCAGGTGGATGGGAAAGAATATAAGCTGTGGTTCTTAGAACAAATAACTCAACACATGATCCTCAAGTTGAATTTCAGCCTTCCTAGATCAGCAAAATTCTGGGTATCTTGTTTCTAAAACTGTCTTGCAATTCAGTTGCTGGTGCTAATTATTCACATTCCCTCTGACACTGTCCATATGTATAGAGATGGGCTTTCCAGCTTTCATCTCATATAACTGTATGAGAAATCATACACCTATGAAAAACAGCCATATTGTAATGAAACATAGCAACTTGCCAGAGCACAATACATTGTTCCATATGGGCATAAGAGAAGAGCGAATAATTTATTCTGAGTTAACTGCTTAGGGATTTTTAGGTCAGTGGAAGGTAATTATGCAAAAATGAACTTGGGCAGTATATACAAGTTGACATCTGTATGATTGCAAAATAAATGCCACAGATGTTTTAATAACGAATAACAGATGTGATTAGTGCCTAGGTTTTAAATCTCATTTAAAAATTTTCCTCTTGTAGGTAGCTCTTCCCCTCACCTTTTCTCCAGCCTTATGAAGAACACTAACTGGCTACAGGTTGGGGCTGCAAGCTCCTCATCACCAACTCTATCTTTCAGCTTTGCCTATAAGACGTGGTGCATTATTTATGAGAGCTGGCAGAGCAGACCTTAATTTGCAAGTCAAAAAGTACAGTCAATTGCATGATCAGAGAGCACAACTGAGAGCACCAGCCCAGTGCAACACAGTCGTGCACAATGATAATCTTTTGCTTGGGTTGGAGGCAATAGTTTCCAGCAGACTCAGTGAGTCAGTAGAAATAAATATGCAGTGGCTTGGTAAAGGCGTAAACACAGATGCTGGAAGGCAGCAGCCAAATAAACAAGTACTGCTGTGGAGTGCTGTGCATTAAATTTATGTTAAAAAGGTAATGCTTAACGACTTAAACTAGGCCTCTGTAAGGAGCCCTCTACCATGGGAGTGAAGAATGGTCTCATACACCAAGAAGACAGAAAATGCAATGACTGAGGTAACAGTGCTGCACAGCCAAACGTGGAGACTGGAACTGAGGCCACCTTGACTGCCCTGCACATGAGCCAAATGGTAGGGTGGGAAATGGAATACGTGCTCTGCACTTTGCAGTATGCTGAATGTTGTGTTTGCTCACCAGGTGGACAGGCCCTTGTACTTAGGGCAGCTTTTGGCTCTATCACCTGTCTTGCAGTGATGTTTCCTGATAGACACCAGTTTTGACACCTGAGGTGACTTGCTGCAAAGCTGAGTGGGTTGTCCACGCCAGCTGAAGTCACTAAGATTGGAAAGGAGATCCAGTCCTGGTGTGACATGCCAGCACAGGCACAGAAATGACTTGATGGGTGCCAGGTTTCCTAGGGAGCAGGGACACAGAGAGTATGGCCTGCATTTGTCAATCAGCTCCAATGATTGGGACAGAAAAGACTGGGGAGTGAGTATCTCAAGCTGTACGGGAACAAATCTCTCAAGTCAATCTGACTTCAGGTACCATCAGAAACACGCAGCTGTTGTCCCAGCTACTCTTAGCTGCTCTCATCAATGTGCTGCCTCTTGTGCAAGAGCATCCAGAAGCTCTGTTAAGGTTCTGGCTTTTTCATTTCCTCCTTTCCTTCCAGAGGACATCTCTGTCAGCACTGGAGCGATCAGAGCAGCAGATCAGGAGGGCATCCAGCCTGGAAGAGCTCCTTCGAATAACTCATGCTGAGGACTGGAAGCTGTGGAAATGCAGGCTAAAACTCAAAAGCCTGGCCAATTTAGACTCCCGCTCTGCATCACATCGCTCCACCAGATTTGCTGCTGCTTTCTATGATATCGATACACTGAAAGGTAGGTGCAGTATTGCATCTGAGTCTAGCTGCAGCTTCAGGACTGCTGTTTCTTACTTAGTTATGGGTTAAGTACCAGAGGTTTCCTAGAAGACACCTGCACTGGAAGCAGCACAGTATTCATGGAAAAATGACATTGTATGAAAAAATGTGAGGCAACAGCCTGAGTACATCTCCCTTTTCATAGCCAAATCATGCTTATTGTACTGTATACTGTCCAAAGGAAAGTTCTATTATGTATGGATATGTCAGTCCAAAGACAGACAGGAAATAAACATGCAAAGAGTGGTCTGGAATGATGGGCTGAGGGGCTTGCCAGCAGTATTGTGCCAGATCCAGGAATTTAATTGCAGGCAGAAACAAACAAGCTTTACAACAGGCATTGAAATTCCATTTTTTATGAGGTGCACTCTGATCTAAGACACTGCATCAGCACTAGTGTCTGGGTGGGAACTGCAGGAAGGAGCTATTGTCCTAATACTCTTGCTCTGTTTGAGAAAATATCTTTTGGAAGAAGAAGTAGACTTTGAAACTGCCAGTCAGCACCTAAGTACAGAGAATCACAATTTTTCCTTCTCTTGAAGCAAAAATGAATACTGTTCCCTCTAAGTGAGAGACATGAGGGCCATTATATGATGTACTGATGTAAAATAAAGGATCGTTTGCTATGCTTCCATCAAGGAGGTGAATATCCTGCAGCAAAGCTGCACTGTAGCCTAGCCAAGTACTGACGAAGCTATTTTTTTGTTCAGATTTGAATCTAAAGTGATATGACCATATCACGTTCCTTTGGGGAAATCAGATATTGCTGATTCTGTTCCAACATCACTATTACAATAACCACAGCTACATTTGCACACCATGAGTGTCGCTTTCATATTTATTACTTCTACATTTCAGTTAATTTATGACAAAGCAAAGGCTTTAATTTGCTACTCCAGACATGGCACAGAAATACAGAGATGAGTGCCAGTCTGAAAATGGCTTTCATATGACAGGCCTGGCTTTAAACTTCTCATAGAACATTTGCACTGAAAAAAAAAAAAAAAAGATACACACATACACAAAAAGAAACAAAACCAGAAAAAAGCCCCACAACAGAACAAAACAACATCCAATACACAATGGAAGAACAATTAAGAGGATTTTAATTAATGACTGTTTAGGTAATGTCAAATGCTTGTAGGCATACAGATATAACTCTTTTATAACAACGTGGCATAGCTGTTAGGTCACTTCCTATTTTTTTTAACTATCTAACTTTAGACACAGAGATGTCACACTATTGGGTCATCTTCTCCGTTCCTCCATCCAAAGAGGAATTATCCCAGGACAGAAACGTCTTTGTTTTAATATCTTAATACACTCAAGGTACTACAGCTCCTTTAGAAAAAAAAAAAAAAAAAAACCACCACAAACCTATAAACATATATTTCTTTCCCACACTCTTTCCAGTCAGTAAGCACTGACCCTTTTGCCAAGGGCATCTGTTTCGTTTTAGTAAAGTGTTATGATGAGAAGTCTGGGTCTAGGCCTTTCATTGCTTCACTCTTAAACCATCTCCCACAGTACCCCAGACTCCAACCGGGTGAGGGAGGTCAAGGACAACAAGAAAGACTTCCTTAAGCACGTCAGTAGCAAAAAGAAGACTAGGGAAATGTGGACCTGCTGCTGAATGAGGTAGGAGCCCTGGTAATGAAGGATACTGAGAAGGCCAAGATACAGAACACCTTCTTTGTTTTGGTCTTTACTGCTAAGGAATCTCAGACCCAGGAGATTAGAGAGAATCTAAGGAAAGGAAGACTTCCTCTTGGTCGAGGAGGATCTGCTCAAAGGTCATTTAGGCAACCTCAATACACACAAATCCATGGGCCTCAATGGAATGCACTCATGAGTGCTGAGGGAGCTGGCAGAAGTGATTGCCAAGCTGCTCTCTATCATCTTTGAAAGGTCATAGAGAATGGGGGAGAACTGGAGGAAAGCCAGTATCACTGCAGTCTTCAAAAAGGGCAAGAAGGAGGAGCAGAGAAACTGCAGGACAGCCGGATTACCTCTGTCCCTGGGAAGGTGATGGCAAAACTTATTCTGGATGTCATCTCCAAGCAAGCAGAAAAAACAGGAGATTATTAGGAGTAGTTAGCATCGGTTCACCAACAGGAAATCAATCAGGTAGCCTATGATGTCATGACTGGTTGGGTAGATGAGCAGAGAGCAGTGGATGTTGTCTACCTTGACTTCAGCAAGGCTTTTGACACTGCCTCCCATAACATCCTGGTAGGTAACCTTAGAAAGTGTGTGGGATAGATGAGTGGACAGTCAGGTGGACTGAGAACTGGCTGACTCGCAGAGCTCATTGGGTTATGATCAGAAACAGTCTAGTTGGAGGCCCACAGCTAGTAGTGTTCCCCAGGGATTGGTACTGGGTCCAGTCTTGCTCAACATCTTCATCAGTGGCCTGGATGAAGGGTTAGAGTGCGCTCTCAGCAAATTTGCTGATTATACGAAGCTGGGAAGTAGTGGCTGACATATGACGTATCAGAATGCTGTGCTGCCATTCAGCAAGACCTGGACTGGCTGGAGAGTTGAGCAGAGTGGAACCTTATGAAATTGAACATTGAAAGTCCTCCCTATACATGGGGAGGAATAACCACACACATCAGTACAGGTTAGGGGCTGACATGCTAGAAAGGAGCTCTGCAGAGATGGACCTGGGTGTCCCATTAGACACAAGGTGACCATGAGCCAGCAGTGTGCTCTCATGGCCAAGAAAGTCAATGATAACCTGGAGTGCATTAAAAAGAGCATTGCCAGCAGGTTGAGGGAGGTGATCCTCCCCCTCCACTCTGCCCCGGTGAGGCCACATCTGGAGTACTATGTCCAGTTCTGGGCTCCTCAGTTCAAGAAAGGGAAATTCTGGAGAGAGCCCAGAAGGGGGCCACAGAAAAAGCTGAGGGGGGATCCTGTCAATGCTTATAAATATATGAAGGGTGGGAGTCAAATGGATGGGGCCGTGCTTTTTTTAGTGGTGCCCAGTGACACGGGGCACAAACTGAAACATAGGAAGTTTCGTAAGAGCATGAGGAAAAAACTTTACTTCGGGGGTGACAGTGCTGGAACAGGCTACTCAGAGAGAGGAGATGGACTAGTTGATCTCCAGAGTTCCCTTCCAACCTCCACAATTCTGTGGTTCTGTGATTCTGTGAATTCAGGACTTTGTTCCTCCTTTCTAGAGCTTCAGTGATGAACTCGGTGAAAGCTCACCTCACCCCATGCCACCACAGTCTCCCCAGAGCAGCTCAGCTCACCTGCAACAGCAGCGCTTTCAGGCTTTGAGTGCATCTCATTGCATCTAAATTTTGCAGCAGAAAAGATCAGAGTGATCACAGTGTTTCACAACAAAATGTGACATCCAGTTTTTTGATCAGACCTTTTTTAGAACATCCCTTCTGTTACAAAAGTGGTTAATAAAGGGAGGATATGTACAGATGGAAAGGTCACTGCTTACACTCACTGAAGTGACATCTGAAGCGATTACATGCATGTACTGTAATAAGTTTGGCAAACACTTTATTTTCTATTTTAAGGTTTAAGATTAGATTGCTGTTTTGATTGACTCAATTACTCCAGAGAATTCTATTGATTTTAGTGATCCTGCTCTTACTTCATGCTGTAGGAAGTAAAATCAGAATCCAGATCCCAAACTCTTTTTTCTTGTACTTTTTGTATGACTGGAAAGTGGCATGAATCGACCCAGAGGAAAGGCTTTGCAGGAATAAACAATTTAAACGTACAGAGTCAGTTGAGGAAAAAAAATAAAAGTAATAAAAGGAAAGTCAGCCAGGAAAGGGAGAAATAAAGGCTCATCTGAAGAAAAGTACAGCATTTAGATTAAAAGTCTTTCAGAATTTTGGTTTTTTTTTAAAACTTCTCTGTAAATGCACACACTGGTGGCGTAATAGCAGGAAGATGGACTGCAATAGAAGTGAAAGCAATTTTCTTGATAGAAGTTGTTCCTTGTCCTTCACAAACCTGATGAAAGGAGGCACACAGGAAAAAAACAATTCCTTAATTTGAAGACGGACTTAAAGCATAAGCACTGTTGACTACCAACTTATTCCATAACAGGAATCTGGAAAACAAAAGTGCAAAAAAAAGCACGGCCCCTTCTAAGAAGCACTGAGATGGTACTGCGTTTTCTCTCACTGCTTCAGCCATTGAATGCATTAGTCCTTCTCACAGTCAGTATTTGATAGATGTGTATGAAATAAATTACTAGCCTACACCAATTCAGTATTTGAAAGACGCCACAGTGTTTTGAATAGATAAAACACACTTGAATTCGTATTCCTGTTATTCCAACTTGAATACCCTGAGGGTATTTAGTTGTGAGAGTGTTTGTCTTGGATTTTGCTCATCAGCTCAGAGACAGTGCTGGCTGGCTGTCATCCAGTGGGAGCACTAATACTCTCTGAACAGAATCTGTTAATCATTAATGTGCTTTTCCAGTCAGGCCTGGGCTCTGCATGCCTACTGTGGGGTAGGGCAGTGAGATGCTGGGTTTGCAACTTTAGACGGTCCTGCAGGACAGGAGAAGCAGGTGGGAACTGCCTGCAGGATCTGAGAATGTGCTGGTGGGTGGGCACTGGGATCTCATCCTCTGCCAGCAGGGATCACAGAATCACAGGATGGCTTAGATTGGAAGGGACCTTAAAGCCCAATCAGTTTCAATTTTCAGCCATGAGCAAGGCTGTCACTCACCAGATCAGACTGCCTAGGGCCCCATCCAAGGCATCCAAGGATGCATCCATAGCTTTTCTGGACAGCCAGTGCCAGTGCCTCACCATGCTCTAAGAATTTCTTCCTAACATTTAACCTAAATCTCCATCTTCAAGTTTAAGACTATTCCCCCTTGTCTTTCTCTGTAAGATTGTGTAAAAAGTTGGTCTCCCTCCTGTTTATAAGCTTCCCTCAAGTACTGGAAGGCTGCAGTGAGGTCTCCCCAGGACTTCCTCTTTTCCAAGATAGACAAGACCAACTCCTTCAGCCTATCTCCACAGGAGAGGTGCTCCAGCCGTCTGGACCCATTCCAACAGTTCCCCATCTTTCTTGTGTTGGTCAGATGTGGATGCATGTACTCCAGAGGGGGCCTTACAATGGCAGAGTAGATGGAGGCCATTACCTCCCTGTCCTTGCTGGTTAACTCTCTTTCGATGCCACTCAGGAAGTTGGTCATTTCAGCTTTTTGTCCACCAGAACCCACAAGAACCACCCCTTCTCCACAGGGCTGCTCTCAAACAGTTCTTCACCCATTCTGTACATATACATGGGATTGCTGCAACCCAAATGTAGCACCTTGCACTTGGTCTTGCTGAACCTTATTATGGGCCCAGTTCTCACGTTTGCCCAGGTCCCTTAGGATGACATCCCTTCCTTCTATTGTATCAACTGCACTGCTCAGCTTGGTGTCACCAGCAAACTTGCTGTGAGTACATTCAATCCCACTGTCTATGTTGTTTATAAAGATGTTAAAGAGCACTGGTTCCAAGACTGACCCCTGGGTGATACCACTTGTGATTAGCCTCCACCAGGACATAGATTCATTGACTACCAATCAGCCCTACTTATCCCATAGACACTAAGGGACATTTTGGTCACCTCTGTTGAAAAGTGAAGGCAGATAAATGTAGCAACCTCTTTGCCAGGGCAGCTGGTGTAAGTTACTGGGATAATTTTGTACTCTACCTCTCTCTGGTCCTTACATTGATCCAAGTAAGTGCAGATGGCCTGTCAGCACTTCATTTTAATTATGTAATACCTCACCAGTCAGAGGCTTACTTTGCCACAATTGCTCACTAAAAATGGTGCTCTTTCTAGTCATAGATGAAGAATGGCAGAAGACTCAGTGTGTGCCAAGGGAAACCTGTGTGGAAGTTGCCAAAGAGCTGGGTACGACAACCAACAAGTTCTTCAAGCCACCCTGTGTGAATGTGTTCAGATGTGGAGGCTGTTGCAATGAGGAGAGTCTGAGTTGCATGAACACAAGTACAACTTATGTGTCAAAAACGGTAAATGAAGCTATTTGCTCTCTTTCTGGCCTGGCTCTCAAAAAATGGAGGGAAAAAAGGATGTTTGGTTTCTGAAATCCTGTTATGAAAGATCTGTCTGCACTACCATAACAAACAGGAGAATTAATTTTTTATCCACGTGGAGTGAATGCAGGCATGTGCAATAACATTTCACACTCATGCTGCATTACTAAAAATGTCTGTGTATGCAGAGAGATGGAAAATCAGGCAGTGAGAAAGTGATTGTAGGCTCATGTGATTTTAAGGGGTTTAATCCTTATTTAACATATTGTTGCTTGGATCTGGGACCCTTGAGAACATTGGCTTGTGAAAATCCAAAGGATTAGGAGAGTTTGGGAAATGTTGTTGTGTGGGGCCATGAGTCTGAGAGCTGTATTTTTAAAACTGACATCAATTCCACAAGGCTGGCTGATAGTTTTGAATTTGCAAGCCGAAAAAAAGAGGCATTTTCAGAAGAAGAGGCCAGATGCTCTCCATATGAATGCCTTGGGATCTGAATATCACAAATCACAATGGAAAAGAAAGGCTTAAATTAGTAGCAATAAATGTCTGAGTTTTAATGACCACTGTCAAAATGTGAGCATAAAGAGTATCCAGAGAGTATCTTTCAGTAGACTGCCTTTAGCATCTACGTACAGAGATATCTTGCTCCAATGGGTGACTTAGCACAGTTCTAAGTTCTACATCTGAAACTATATGAAGACCAGGGGACTGGTCTTCTCAGATTTATCTTCATCTTGGGCATCCCCACTTCTAAAACCTTTTGTACTTGAAATAATATATTAAATTCTAGTTATCAAAAAGGGTTTTCTTTAAATCAGAGCCAAGATTGAGGCAGCTGTTTTAAAAGGATTTAAGTCCTTATGGGGAAATATTTGAAAGCAGGAGGCCTGATTCACTTACATATTGTTACAGCTTTTTTTGGAATGTAATTTCTTTGTGTCTGGTTGCACTGGAATATAGTTAGATTAAAATAAATCAGGGCCTATCCTGCTTGTGTCAATGTTCATTAACTGTTTTAATTCCATACCCGAAAGAGAAGGCACTTATGGCTGCGCACAAAAGTCATCTGATCAGCTCAGAGACCTAGGTTAAAAAGTATTCATTTACTTACTTGGTTTTTGAACAGCAGTTCCTAAGTTTGTTGAAAAGCTGCAATTCTGCATTTCTTTAGTGCTCTTGAAATAACCATTCCCTCAAAAGTTCTCACCTTAATTCCATTCCTGCATACACTACCGTCAGCTCAGAATTACTTCTCTAAAATCAGCAGAATTACTCCTGTATAAGTGAGAGTATTTTTTCCTTGTGCAAAATATCCACTGAAGAATATTCCCAAAGTTAGACACTGTGACACTTAAATTTAAAAATCGAAAGCGTAAGATCTAGGAATATTTCCCAGATGCTGAATATGGATGCAGCACTAAGGTGGTATGCAGAGAAGTACCTGTGCTTTATTTTCCACTTGAAGGAAGTTGGTCTGCCAGGGCAGAGGGGCTGTGTATAATTTGAATACCTCCTGTACATTGCTGCGCAAAGAACCAGGACTTTCTCTTAGAGATCACGTTAATTTGCATGCACTGAAGATAGGCTTCTTGTTTCTTTAGGCTCTCCAATAAAGAGAACCCAATTAAAGTGTCCTTTATTTACTCCTGTTTCTTCCTCCTCTGAGGAGGCCAGGGGGATCAAGTTAGGGATCTAAAGATGCAATGTGTGAGTACTCTAGGACAGTTAATATCTCCATAAGTTGTTAAGATTCAGCTGATGATACAATTGAGAATAAAGTTTGCAATGTCCGTATATTTTTCATCTTGCTCTAGCAATACACAAGAGGCATTTTAGTGTCCATATGAAGAATTTGGGACAATGTTGGGTATATAGCACCAGTATGAACATTCTGGCAAGCTTCTACTTTGGTGGACATAGTCCATCCCTCACTTCAGAACATTCACTGGCCACCTGCTTATTTATACCTGTGTATAAATAGTTACTATTGATAAAAAAAGAGCAATGGTGAGGCAAACGGTGGAAAAGGATAAAACGTTTTTATGGAAGACTTCACATATTAAAATAGAAACTGAAAAAAATAAAATAAAATGGTTATTTCACCCACCTAGCTCTTTGAGATCTCGGTTCCTTTGACAAGTGTTCCAGAGCCTGTGCCAATCAAAATTGCCAATCACACCGGTTGTAAGTGTTTGTCAAACACCCAGCGTCACCAGTACACCATCATACGAAGATCTGTCCAGTACCCAGAAGAAGATGGGTAAGTTAACACATTTACAATTTGCTACCTATGCTGTCTGAAGTAAGAAAATTGCTTTGCTCTGATTTGGTCATTGTAAAGGTGCCTGCACTTTCTGTTATCCTAAATGGTTTTCCAATTATCTTGATTATCACTCAGGATTATAAAACTCTGACTGGATGTTGTAAATAATACTGAATGGAAACAGGAATCCAGAAAGCAGCAGACTAGTACAGCAGGATCTGCAGTCATTAGGACATGGAGGTGTTTGAAAGGGGACTCAAAGATCAAATATTATCACTGTACTCCACTGGAGCTACTTGGATAGATATGCATAGATTTTCCGACTTGACACAAGAAACTGTGTTCACACATTAACCAGCCAGGGCATACAAAGAGTGCTGAGGTCAACATAAAGAACTCCACTCTACTTCACAGCACCTTGGGTCAGAAGTGACGCAAAGCATGGCTTTGCAATTATCCTCCAGTCTTGGTTTGCATCTGCCAGGTTCAGAGCTTGGCCAAAAGTGATTTCACATCTTACTCCAAAGTATGGTAAAAACACTACTGTAATCCTGATGGGAATTCTCTAAATTAACTCAACAAACACTCTAGAAACACATCTAAAGGGTTATTTAATATTAACTGTATCTGTCTAGACTTATATGTAAGCATACAGATAGATGGCATGAATACTAAGACTAAGAGTACCCTGGGTGGAGCAGAGATGGAAAAAAAAGTTTAAAAAAAAAAAAAATGGAGCTGCAAAATTGTTGCCATTTCCTTCTTCGACATGTAGTCCGAAATATATGCTCTATCTACTACTCCTATTGTAAAATAGAGAGAGATCCAGCCCCATCATCCATTGTCAAGGTTTTCTGTTCGCAGCAATAATGCACACAGATGCCACAGCTTCACACAGTGGCAGAACATCAGTAGGTTCATTCCACCAAATGACTATGCTGCTGCTCTTCATATTTACTTTTTAAATTTCCATCTTTCTTTTTTTTTTTTTCCCCCTTCTAGTTGTCCCTTTACGAACAAACTTTGCCACAATGGATGGGTCTGGGATAGTGACAAATGTGAATGTGTTGCAGATGTACAGCACTCAAACAGACGGGAAGGTAAAACTAAATTAACAACGAAGCACTTCTGCTTATTATCTGCAGGATGTTTGTGTTGCATATGGGCTTTGTTCCACTTCTTGTTGTAAGAACAGTTTTGATTCTACATCCTTAGACAGATCTTGCTTACAATGTAGAAACTCACCTGAAAATAAACATTGGTACGTTTATCCCCATCTCATATTTTTTCCTTGGAGATTTTACTTCACCTCTAGAAACAAGTCAATAAGAAACAGGAATGTACTAAAAACATGAAGTGGCCATTCTTGAATTTTTTTTTTTTCCAATCTTATATTAACCTTAAATTGTATAACATACATTATGAAAAAACCTTTTAACTGTAGAAATCCATTTATCCTTGGAATATATTGTGAGGAAAGTCTTGAATTTTCATTATGGGACATTCTTGAGAACAGATATATCAGGAATAAGATGGGTAAAAGCAATTCCTCCTATTAGCTGTAGTCATTGCAAAAGGTTATATGACCTTTGAAATGATTTGATTATCTTTTATGGTTATATTAAAATGTTTAGGATGCTTTCAAACTGATATACCATACATGTTCAGGAGTATGCAAGTGTACCCTTCTGGTCTGTAGAAGGAAATGGAAGAGGGTAAAATTAATACAAGTGTTCAGTACTTCTTTTCTCTCTCTGCTTTTCCTGGAAAACTTTACTGTCAAATAAATTTGCAGGAAATATTCTGTGAGGGAACTGTGTAAGTATAAAGACACCTATTGGCAGTAAGTTTTACAAAAAAAAGTTAAAATTTCCCCATGGCCTGAATAAAATTAAAAATAAACAAATAATACAAACAAACAAAAAAAACCAACACATGATTTTCTTAGGAAATTGTGCTGGTCAAAGTAAACCATGACAGCAGTAGAGCAGATGGACACAGAAGGAAACTTTGCCCATCTGATTTAAACTGCACTCAGCAAACCAAATAATAAACCAAGGCAACTGTAAAAAGAAGCTGGCAAGCAAGCTAAGCTAGAATCTAATAATTTCATGAAGTGCTCTGTTGATTAAGATGTCATAAGGCTAATAGATCAGTTTCATGTTGCTTTTTTTTCCCTGTAGGATCTGCTCTCATTCTGAATCAGCTCATTTGGCCATCAAGTAAAGTAGTTAAGCTCAAGTTAGGCTTTCCACTCAAGAAAGAATTAGTACACCATATATCAGAGTATGTCCAAAGGAAACTGAATAGCCAGATTCCTCTTTCCTCTTAGCCTTTTGTAAGGTCAGCTTGGAGATTAGAGTCTGTGGCTTGTTAAATTATAGCTTTTGTTGACATAAACTCAATATTTCCTCAGATAAAATATCATTCTGTGAAGCACAATGGGTTTGGCTGTGGCTAGAATAAAATAACTTAAAATCTGCCTTTGATGTTGAAATGAAGCAAGGCTGAAACACTCGTACATGCCAAGCTTTATCACCCCAAGGAAGTGGTTTGTTTTCCAAGAATTTGTGGCAGATTCCTTTCCTTCTTCTTTCTTTTAAAGTTTTTGAATATTAGTTTTCCATCATTAAGCAAATAATAATGAAGGTTTCTTTCAAGTAGTGTACAGGCCCGTTCTGGTCAGTAAGATCAGAGCTCAGGTTGCAGAGGTCATGGACACAGGTTACATTCCACATTCCATAGGTTAAATCCAATAGTTAATTGTAAAATTACAGGAAATTATCTTCCCACTGACACATTATAAGCCCTGACCTTTAACCATTGATGTGCTGCCAGCATTTTAATGTGGCTTTCAGAAAATATATTCCCTTTTTTTCTAGGATTAACCTCATATTATAGTCCAGATGCGTATTTTGAAGGAAGACAGATGAAGTATTAGACAGTGTGTTTGCTTGGCTGGGGTTTGTTTCTGAAACAGAGTATTTTCTCCTTCCTTTAACTGACAAGTGTGCATATGTTGCTTATTGAAGTACTAGACTGGATTACATCTTACTAGACATAGTATTACTTCTGCAAAAATTCTGCAACAAAGTGTGGGAATAGTGAAGTACGTTGAACAGTGAGTATGCTAGTTTGTGTGGATAGGCAGCTTTGCGAGAGGTATATGCTAAATCCTGGGAGTTTCTTTTTGAAATCTGCTCTCTTGTAAGCATGCCTGTGTCCCAAAACCTAACATTTGGCACTTCTAATATGCATCCCCAAAATAAAGTACTTTTATGCAGGGTTCAACCCATAAGAAATAGCAGTATTAGTGAAACAATCAGCCCACTCCTGTCCTGAAAAAGCTGAAAAGTTCTTCTCTGCAATGTAAGTTACAACAGAAGACCAAAATAAATTAGAGAGTACATGAGCCCTTTTGGCTGCAGCAAAAGAGCCAGCCTCTTCCAGAATTTAACCATGTAAAGCTTATTGCTGAAAGTTGTGCTTGCTATTGCAGGGCTCCCTCCTCTTGCTGAGCTGGCTATGTGTGGACAATACATGGAATTTGATGAAGAAAATTGTGAATGCATCTGCAGGCAGAAGTGTCCCACAGACTTCTTTCAAAGTAAAGAGAACTGCAGCTGCTATCTGTGTAGAGAGAACCAGGAAAGCTGTGCTCAGAAACACAAGATATTTCATGCCGAAACCTGTAGGTAAGTGCTCCTTGCCACTCAGTGGCTATACTGCAAGGTCTGAATTAGCCTGTGTAGATGCTGGAGGTGCAAGTGCTGAATTAGATAGGATTGCCATCCAGTACAGAATCACTTGCTGCAATTATGGATGTAATAATAATAATAATAGATAGGAGATAGAAGGAGTATAAGATATTTAATGTTTTGAGAAATATGAACAAGGATGCTATTCAACTATGTGTATTCATTATTTTTCTCCTAATTTTAAGGGAATGACTGCTAAAACTGTGCTACACTTGAAATTACTATGTTACCAAGACAATTTACAGTGAGATACCGAGTCTTGCATTTCTAGGGTGTCCAAACCCACTCTCTGTTCTCTGTGATAACCCAATGCAGTCTCACATACTTCTAGGGGCAAAGGTACCCTAGATTAACACCCACATCATGTAGCTCATTATTCACCATGTTTGTCCTCAAATGATTTACTAGAGCTAATGAAATTTTGTACATATACAAAGCCATTCAACTGATAGCATGGGGAAGCAGGAAAATCGTTCTGGGACTGTTACATTCAATGCATTGCCCTAATCCTTTTGAGTAACTAGTTTTGAGGATTCTTTGGCAAAACATAAGTAGAAAATATAAAGTACTCTTTTTTCATGCAGTAGTTTTTTTTTGTTTGTTTGTTTTCATAGAGCCCTTGTCATGTGTACAGATCCAAGAGCATGCAAGTATGCAGTCTGAAAGCTTATAAATAGAAACTCGAGAGTTGAGTTTCACTGGTTATTAAAGCAGAACTGCAGTTTGCTGAGTGGTCACCCATACAGTCCATTGTCACAGACCTCTTAGATTCATTAATGGAGAGGAAACTGTGGAAGGATGAACATCTGCATCTTTAGATTGAGCTCTGAAAATAAAGACAGGCATAAAATAGTTGTCAACAACTGTAACATAGTTAAAAGAATCAGTAGAGTTGAAACATCATCAAAGACTCAGTCATTTATGAGTTTTGGATGCAGGAGGATATCAATGCTATTATTTGTTTACATTGTTTAGGTTCTAGAAATGACTGTAATCTGTACACAGTAACTCTATGCCAGATTTGCATGCTTGTTAGTTCTGGAGAACAAAAGCTGAAGCATCAGTGAGCAAAAGTACTTCATAAAACTTGAGGACAGCAGTATCCAGCAACAAAGTCTTTTCTCCCTGTATCACATGGTGTCAGCATTGTCCCAGGTGTGAGAACACTGCTGTGTCCAATGATGAAAAAGTTGAGGAATGTAACAGTGAAGAATATCATATTAAAATCCTTCTCTCTTTTTTGCTTTTTTTTCTCCTTTATCAAATAGCTGTGAGGACAAATGTCCATCCCAACCCAGAACATGCCCAACTGCAAAGCCAACATGTCCCAGGCATTGTCGATGTCCAAAGGAGAAGAGAAATTCTCATGGGTCTCAAAGCAAAGAAAATCCTTGACTCAGCTTCTCCAGTTCTCCAGAAATCCACTGCTTTGCAAAGTAGCTGTCAATGACTTTCAAACAGTAGTAAAAACGAGCATCTTCCACATTAACAGCAGAAGAATGAATCCAGTCTGCATTTATTTATTAGAGTAATCACTAACTGCAGGTCAATCCTCTGGGGCATTGATAACTGTCCTCTAAGAGGTAAAAACAACTGATGAAATTCTGTCTATGTGGAAGTAAGAGCAGAAAGAGCCACTTCAATGTCATGCTACGGAAGATGAAGCTGGTGTATTGGTAACAGTCACAGTCAACAGCCAGACTTTCAGAAATTGAGACTAGATAATCTTAGCCTCTGAATCTTTAGCTAATGCAACTGTAGGGTAAAACTTTCTTCAGAAATTCAGTGTGCAGGATTTGGTTTCTAATTGGGTCAGCACTGAGTTATTTGATCTACTGTCCAGCTTTAATTATCATTTTGAATTTATTGTACAACTACTGTCAGATGTGCCATATTTAATTGTATATAAGAAAATAAATACATCAGTTATTCAAGTGCTTTTGTGTTTTCTTTTTTTTTTTTTTTTTTAAATCTCTGAAATCTCTGTTATTTTAAAACTCTGCCAAACAAAAAGAAGTTAAGCAAAAAACAAAAGCCACCTCATGTACAGCCTTTCTATGTTTGTCCCTCTGGGACTGGCTCCTGCCCAAACGCTGGTAGACACAAGGTCACTAAGTCCAATAATTTCAGTAAAGAAGAATCATTTTTCCCATGTCTGCCTGACAGGCGTGTGTGATTTATTTATTTGTTCCTGTTGTAGCATGTTAGCCTCCCTAAGGGGATAGCAGCCACACTAGTACTAACTGTTCAGCAATTTTCTGAAGGAAAAGATGGGTGGTTTTTTTTTGGCCTACAATGGTATGAAAATATGTCCTTTGCACTGAAATTCTTTTCACCAGCGTGAGGCTTGAATAACAGTGTTTTGACTAAAACAAGTATAAGGGCAGTATTATTTTCTGGACCAATGAAATCTGGTTTCAGACAAAATATTGTAAGCAGCAGTCCTGAACTGCAAGTGGTGGTGTTGATGACGGAATCGTTTCTTTCCCTTTGCTGAATTCTCCAATTCTTTACTGCAGTTTGAACAGAGGGAACAGAGGAAATTAAACAACTGCAACAGAGATGGAAATGTTGACGCAACATGTGGAAAGGAAAATGGCTTTTGATGTCTTGTTTTAATTTATATAGGGAAAAATAGATTTCTTCAAAATAAAATTAGAGCCCAGCCATGTAAGGTGGACTGAGCTGTTGGAGAAAGCACTACAATGTAATAGATCTTCTCTCTGAGTAAAGCACTTAAAGTGGGACACTGGATGACTGCTTCAAGTGCCCTCCAAATAATCTTGTGATCTAGGTCTGTACAAATACACTGGCAGACTGGTTTTGTTAACCATGCTGGGAAGTGGCCTGGGGCCGTCTCACCAAACAATGTGTTCTGACATATGACTGCACAAAGTGAAGCCCTGCAGCAGGGCCATCTCCTTCTCTACAGTAGACTCTTCACTGAGGAGATTCCTCCATAGCTTAGGCCATGTGCAGCTGATCCACACTGTGCACAGACAAGGAAAATGGGACCCCAGTGCAAATCAAGGTGAACCAGCTGGGCAGTAAAGCTCACCCTTACACTCCTTTAAGTGAAGCTTAAAGGTGTTTAGATGGAACAAACTACCCCATCACTTTTCACCTCACTCACAGTTGAGGTTACTGACCCTGTGGTTGATTGCACCGTTAGCACATTCCTCAAAAAGATGAAGAGCAACAGAGGCATGATGCTTTGCAAGCCCAAGCTCCTCATGCTCAACCAGACACAATTAACTGATTGCACTAGTGGCTCGTGGAGCAACAAAACACCTTTGTCCGAAACTGTACATCAAGCTGAATTCTTAAGTGTTAAGAAAGCTAACATATATTCCTCTACTACAGCCCCATTGCCCATGGGCAGTAGTTTATAGTGTCATTTAACAACACAGCAATTGGAAAATGAATGCATTTCCACAGGCTAAATTTGAGTGGAAACCTGCTAGACTTACAAATGAATAATTCCTGAAGTCAGTAGAGCTGTACTGACATAAAAAGACAGGATGAGAAGACGCCCTCTGGGTGTGCAGGGCTCTGACTTTAAGTGACATCTGAAAAGAGTGAGAGAAATTCAGCAGTTAGAAACCTGTATCATGCCTGAATCTTTGTCAATGCTGATCTGCAGAGCTTCCTCAGCTTTCTGATCTGCCTAGTGAATATTTTTTCTTTCTTCTGCTCTCCCTCCCCCCTCAAAAACAGAGCCACTTCAACCTGAGAAACAAATAAGTCTGCTCCAATTCCAGAAGGGTCTTAAAGCAATCACTAAGGAGCTAGAAATGATGTTTAAAAGCCCCGCAGCCTTCCTTTGAAAATCAGCAGGATGGATGCAACTCTCCATTTCACCTAACATATGGCACTGTGCTGGGTGGCAAAGCAGAGGCATCCAAGCACTCTGAATTAGCCAGATTCCCTCATAGAACATGAGAATACCTTTCTATAATCACACAGGTTAATGCCTTGGAATACGAGCACTGGCCATCCTTCCCCTCCTACGGGCTTCTGCATAAGGAAGGACTTAGAAATTAGTATTCAATACACTTGAAAATAGAAATGCTTTATGTTGTCTCTCATATCAATACATCAGAATTTAATTGCAGAGATTTAATATAAAAACTCAGAAGGCCTAAATGGGATACGTAAAATTCATGGCAGATCTGGTTTCTGACTGATGTCATTAGCTTTTAACTTATGACTAAATGACCTTCTCAGAGGGAAGGTTACTGAACAGAAACATTCTGTTTGAAGTTTGAAATGCCTTTTATTACTGTGTTCAGCATGACTTGCTTTTTAAACATATGGACATGATTTACAGGTTTCATAGCCACAAAAATAAAGCCAAAATTTCCTGTTATGGTGTGTCTTAATTTTTATATAATGAGGGACGTCTTTAATGCAACACTTGGATTATAGCCTCTGTATATCCATTTGTATAATAGGAATGGGAATACTTTAAAAAATGATAATTAATTCTGAATCAAATGCATATGAATTTTCTAAAGTTTTTATGAGTAGCTAGCTTTCAAGCTTGCATATGCTTTTCATAAGGAGGGGACAAGAAAAAAAGAATGAATGAGTAATATATTATGTTTGAAAGAATCAGGAGAACTTCATCTACATGTAAAAACTCTACTTGACCTCTACATTACAGAGGTACATATGATCACACAAAATGCTGATGATACTGAAGAATATCAAGAAAATCTGCCCCCGTTTACTTTGAAATTTGTCATATGTCACATACTGTGACATTGCTTATAACCAACATTATTCATAGGAAGTTTGACAGGGCATATATAAATCCCATCACACTTACAGACACTGCAAACAGATTCATTTATAAGTATCCTTTGGGCATCAGGTCCAGCTGACTCTTAAAATCCCTCCCTGTTTTCCAGCCATTCTTCCCACGAGTGCCTTTACTCACCATGCAGTTCTCTAGTGCTTCCCTTGTCTGCACATTTTGTTTAGAAAAAAAAATAAAAAAGAATCTGTGTTTTGTTTTCATATACAACTTGAAGACAGGATTTAGGATATTTAAATTGATAGTTACTTTGATTTATAGTAGTGTAAAAAAAAAAGGAAAAGGAAACCCAAAATGGAAAACAAAACAAATGCTTGAGGAAGCTCCTTTAGCTGCCAGTTCCATTTGTATTTTCTAAGTAACTGATAAATGCTTTTCAACTTCAAAATATGATGAACGCTGTCACCTTCTAATTTTGGGCTCACTGAATGAATCAGCCTCTGGGGAAGTATGAGGTGGTTACTAGAACAAGTGGATCTGTGTTCTCCTTTATTACACTATTCATTAAAAAAGAAACAAGTCAGGGGTTATAAATGATGTACTGCCATTCATTTTATTTCTGTCAGACTCCAACATCAGCATTTACTCAAAACTTCAATAAAACCTTTTCACTCCAGGGGGGAGAATGTCTGTTTTAAATTAACTTAAAAGGAAATGGCTGTTTTAGCCAATAAAGCAAAATAAGTACATAAAAAGATGCTGTTGTAGCTTGGTCTGTATGTTGACTTCCATTCCATTAGCAGTCTTTTTTATTTTCAATTTTACTATAATTTACAATACAATTCAAAGTGAAAGATTCTCCCAGGTTGAAAGCATTGACAGTTCATGACTTAGGGCAAGATCTTTCATATCCTAAACATCAAAGGCTACCTTTACAATATTTATGGCTGAAGAATTTTATTCTAGTCGCTGTTATTCTAGTCCCCATTGGCATATGCTATGTATTTAAAAATATATGAATGAGAATATAAAAAATACCAGATTAAGAGTAATTACAAATTAAGTGACAAAATAGTAACAAAGTATCTAATATCACTTAGTCTTCTGCCCCTACTTGTTTTGCAAAATTGTATTTTTAATTGGCAAGGACTGTATTGCTAGTGTGTGGCTTAATTTCAGCAGTTCAGCTGAAACTGATGCAGAATAACCAGACCAACTCATCACACTCTGCTAAGTGACTCCATGGTAAAGTATTTATCCAGAACTACCCCTTAATCCCTGATCTGCCTGTCTGAGCAGACTCATGTGCCTCCTTTGTTCTTCTTTCTTGGGAAAGCTTTCCTTACTCTGAATGAATGAGCCAGCTGTTCAGATTCATGTCTGAATGCTGAAATGTGGTTGCATTGCTCTAACGTAGCTTCACTTTACAGAATAAAACAATACAAGTCATGAAACACAAGGAAAAGCTCAACATATTCGCGAGAACTATGCAAAACTTCTTATCAATGCTAACCCCATAATAAACAGCAATGTTTTCCTGTAACTCAATTACAAAGGAGTATCATGAAAAGCTCTTTAAAGTCATCTTGTTTCTCTCTCTTCTGGCGTTTTACTGTGCACACCATTTGAAAACCATCCACAGCTCAGTCCTAAAGCTTTCACAGCTAATAATTGATTATCCTCCCTACCTGTCCCCTGGAGGCTAATCACCTTATCTTGCTCTGCTCCACCTTAATTAAATTACACTCACAGCAGTTGTTTCCAGCCTGTGTAAAGCTTGAAGCTTGTGGCTTTCATTTCAAACCTCACAAAGACTTTGTGCGTCTGAAAACTGCTCTAAATTTTGCCACTTCTAATGGTCAAATAAAAATTACTGCTTCCTCCAGACAGTTTGCCTTGTAAGGCTACACTAAAGCTACCAAGTTAAAGAAAATTTGTTTAATTTGGTAGATTTTAAAGTATATGCATAACAAATTGCACTTACTTTATAGTTTAAATCCAGATATCAAGTATAAAAACATTGTTTTTTGTTGTTATTTTGTTGCTGTTGGTTTTTTTAATATGAGAAAAAAAGACAGTGTTATTTCAAACTATGTAAAAAGCAGGTACTACAATAATGGGCACCATAAACAGAAAGAGCAGTGCTGATAATATTCTTGAGCACGTATGTAAGAG